TTGCCTTGCCTTGCCTTGCCTAATAATGATTTATTGAATCCTCCTGTTTGAATGTTTGATCCTGAAGCACAGAACTTTGGTCCCAGCAGGATTAGAAAGGACAAACTGAGGAAATAAACTCTAAAAATGATCTTTATAAACAACGCTGGTAGATTTTATGCATATTGTTCTATATTCTGGGATATCAAGCTAAATATATATATATATATATATAAAATAAAAAGGGAATTACTCCTTAGAAAGGTCCATTAAGGTTCAGTGTGAAATAAAGAAAGCTGAGAAAGAAACTAAAATGTTTGTTTTTTTAAAGATAATTAAAGTTTTGTTGTCACATGGTTGATCAGTGGATAAACAAAAGCTGCAGATGCAGGTTTAATAAATATCTCTTTTTTTTTAACAAAAAAAAAAAACAGAATTCCTATAATTATTTATTTTCCCTCAGAAAAAGCAACTTTTTATCCAGATATTCAGTCATATAATTTAAGCTTAAAATGTGAAGACATACTCTCATCATGGCTGTCCTGGTGTTGGTGGAACGACTGCGTGTGCAGAACTCTGGACAGAACCAAGGTGGCGTTGTCCCGGACCTGCGGTTCACACAGAAAGAAAACAGCTTTTTCTCAGTAACTAAGCTACACAGTTATTACAGGAAAAACCAGCCTGTGAATTAATTATTCTCCTTAAATGTCAGGAGAGTCTGGACAGCAGGAGTGATTTAGTTTCTGTTGGTTTTGCTGCAGCGTGCAGACGAGTCTCGAGTGGCTCGACATTTTCCTGCTCTTCATCTTTAGCTTGTTTTGGTGCAAAAGTAAAGGTCTCTGCTGAAAACTGGGGAAACAAAGCTGATTAAAAGCATTAGGATCGAGCAGCAGGATCATGAATCTCTGCGGCTGCCATAAACAAGGAGATGAGCTGGAGACAGAAACCCCAAACAAACAGAGAGGAGGAGGCCGACGCACGAGGGGCGACGCACGAGGGGCGACGCACGAGGGGCGACGCACGAGGCCGACGCAGGTTCAAGCCTGGAAGCAAACAGACGGGAAGATGGAGGGATTGTTTATCAGCAGAAATATTTGTTCTGTGGACAGAAGGATGTCGGAGCAGCAAGCTGAGGTGGATCCATCCAACTTTGAAGGAAACTATTTGTGAATTGAATGATAAAAAAACACCTGCAGGCAGTTTAAAGTAAGAAGCAGGAAGTTATAGTGGATTTTCATCTGAATCCAAACTAAATAATTCAACCTGTGAATTGGATTCCTAATCAAATCTGTTCAGAGAGCAGCAGGTTGTTTCTCTTTGTGACGCTAAAGGAGCTGAAAGAAGATGGAAGAAGAACCACAGATTGGCTGGACTGCTACTAAAATCTGCTTTTTAGCTGCAGCTACAGATTTCAACTGCATTAAATTCTCCTGAATGGGAACGTTTCTGCTCGCCTTTGAAGAACGTAAAATGGAAAATAGAAGGAGACCGATAGGAAGCAGTGGATCAGCCATGTTTAAAGAAAAACAAAGATTCATGTTCAGCTTTTCTTCTGCAGAATCCTTCTTCGTTTTCTCATTAAAAGATTAATTTTCCATCCAATCTAAACATTCTGCTGCAGAGGTGGAGTCCCACTGAGGTTAATTTGTAATATTGGAAAGTTAAACCTCTCCAGCTGGGTGAGGAGAGGCTGACTGAGTCCCATTTAAACAGGAGGAGTGCAGATCCAGGAGGAGGAGGTGGAGGAGGAGGAGGAGGAGGAGGAGGAGCGCTGCGCTCTGCTGTGACGGACTCATTGGAGACGACCTGCAGCTGATTCAGACCGGGGTCCAGAACTCACGTTATAATGAGCCAGCGTGTTCAGTCTCTTCCAGCGGCCCTCCTTCTGGGACGTGAGGTCCAGATCAGACAGGATCTGACCCGTGGAGCCGGGACGCCACTCTGTGGACAGACGAGGAATTCATGGGTTAATTATACTCTATAAC